CAAAGACGGACTAAAATTAAAGCTTTTTGGAGGCCAAGTTTAGTGTGCACACATTTATTATTGATTATTAGAATGTTGGTCCTAAGCTTTCATGCTCCCGTCTGAAATTCAGCTTGCTAAGACGAAACAAACTTCGAGAACATTCCGAATAAAATGCTCGACCTGCAGCCGAAGTTCGGCAGATAGGAATAAAGGGTTTGACACCCTAAGCCTACTTTCGTTCTTTCGTTCAAATGAACATGTGCATTTTGGCCAGAAATTACGATCTTTGTTTAGGACTTCGCATAACAAAAAACGAGATAAGCTCTGGAAAAACAAGCATATCTTAATAACGAAGCCAGAAATGGAGCATTGGTTGGGTATGAAAGACCACTTGTGGAATATCTGAATATCCTTTCATGGACGATTTAATAATACAGCACGAACTGAAGCGTCTCCAACTTGTCGAGACACATATACCTCGATTATATGTTTTCCAGAATATCTACAAAGATATCACACGGATTAGTCCAATCACAAGTATGAGTAATTAAATTAACCATGCGAAAGCACACTGGTAAGCAGAGAAACTGGAGACTGAAAAGCATCGGTTTACCTCAGGGAAATATGGAACTGCCTCAATATTCATTAGCCGTGTGTAGGATATTCATCCGAAAAGAAATATGAGATTTTCTCCAGACTTCTCGTTCATTTTCGTGACAGTATCGGTAACGCAAGAGTCCACTGCCTCTGTGATTGCGGTCCTTGCAATCAGTGGGCTAGGTGTTATCGGTGCATTTTTTGAAGAATATGCATTAAAATACACCTTAAACGTAAATTTCCTATTTTGTAAGGACCAGCCTACACAGATAGACAAAAGACCTCCGGATTTCCCATTGCCCGCTAATTACCTTTATATTAATGGGTAAGCAGTAAATTGTACAGCTTTGTCGCCAGAAAAACAGTTTGAGATATTAAAGACGTTGACTCGATTATATATGCGCAGTTGCGCCTGAAAAAAACGTTATTACATGATATAGATCTGGTGAATCCGTCAATGAAATGAAAGCTCGACGAAGAACATTCGGGATTGACCCCTTGTTGACGTGCTCCTGGGTAGAAAATATGGTTGTAGTTCACTGTGTATCATCCATGGCAGGGAGATGTGGTCCGAGTAGATCGCTGTTTGACATGATCAGCTGCTATACTTTGAAGAACAAGGTTAAAAGACCACCCAAGCCTCGGCGATAAATAAAGGCCTGCTACAGCTTTTCATCGAACTATCGATTCAAGAGAATGCATCGAGTAAAATTTTCAGAATTTGTTTAATTCAAGTTATATCAAGCACCCTTTCAGCAACTGACACCCGTATACTGTTTGGACTACTCCCATTCTATACGGAGACGAAGAGGCCAAACTGCCTGCCTAGGTCACCCGGGAGATGCTCATAATTCTCCGATCAATGCAGCTGAGCATAAATGCCACTACACATGTTGGCTATGCCATTTCATTATGTATTATTGTTATGCCTTAGAAGTAAATGAATAAACCTGCTTTCTTTTTGTTGATTACTAATATAAAGTCCCAGTTTTATAGTGCAACCATCTGCGCATTAAAATAGAAACGTTAGCGGCCTTTAGTCGATAGTCTTAGCGTGAATCTGGGGTAACTGTTTCCAAACAATATGTCTTATTATCTGTTGTGTACATTACCTTAAAAATAAACAGGTTTTCCAAGAGCTCTCTGTTTCTTGATTCTCCAAAAAAGAAAGATGTGATTTCATTTTTTTCCGACAGCTCGAAATGTCAGCGTCTTATTTACATTTTGAAGTGCAGTATATTTAATTGCATCTTAGTCAGTAGACAAATTATGGTCTACGGATCTGATTAGGTAATGGTGATAGAATCGAGTTTGAGAGCAGTAGTATTTGCTACTGCTCTCTGACTATGTCTCTGATGACAAATCCTCGACGGATCTCGAAACGTCAGATGAACAAAAGTATTGTACCAGCGATCAAGTCGTGTTCTTCTCAGAACCGAGTTTGACAGAACTATGTCGTATGAGAATACAGAGACGATATTATGCAGCAAACATTTACTTTAAAGTTTTCGATTATTTAATGTCGTCTTTATATCGTGCTCACCATTTTAAGAAAGCCTTTCTAAAAGTCATATAGATACCCTAAGTACCTACCCCAGAAGTCGCCTTTTAGTCTTTCCTCCAGCTCAACACCTGTGCCCTATTTTCTCACATGACAAATTTGGCGTCGAAATATGAGCCACTAATTTTTTCACCTAGACATTCAGAAAAATGCAGCAATCGATTTGTCCTAATCCAATTACCCACGTCAGTAAGCATTAGTGCGGAGGCTAACGCGTACATGTGCAGGCCGGCGGGTGGAATGACGAACTGATTTCAACGGCGAAATCCCTAATTGGATTACATAATCGTCGACTAACACACAGAGGCCGCCGCGTTGGGGTAAAACCTTAATCGATAACCTCCTCGTAGTTGTGCGCTGGCATGAGAAAAACATCGCACAGCCCACCGCAGCGCCTTCCTACTCAACTTCCGAATCACCTGAGGCAGCACGCTCAGCAAACTTCTGAGCACACGTAAGTGTCAGCAATTAGTCATCAAAGCCTTCGCACACACATATATAGGTTATTTCCAGCCGAGAGAGAGGCTATTTACCCCGTTAAACTTCCACTTGCCACTACCTGTGCTGCTAGGTCTTGTAAGATGCCGACGACAAAAGCGGTTGTTAAGCAAGCAGACATGCTGGAGGAGATGCAACAGGAGGCGGTGAACCACGCCTACGAAGCTCTTCGATGTGAAGGTCAGTACATGGATATTGCAAAACACGTCCGATGCCACTTTGATCGTATATATGGCCCTTCCTGGAGTTGTGTTGTTGGCAAGGACTTTGGAACGTAAGTATTGTTTAACTTCTTCAAAAAATGATTAACTTGCCACATATTCGAGGTCACAGGAATAAGATAGAAGTGGTGTCTTTAATGGGACTGAGAATAATTTTGTCGGAGATTGATCTGAGGAATCTAAATAAGTTAAATGACCATTTATTTGTTTCAATAAAACCGCTGTCCAATAAGGATAGGCGTTAGGCATCGCCTTAATACCACATGACCCCAGAATTCTGTAGTGAGTGAGGGATAATGGGGCCGAAGATACCTTTTTCGCATTTTGCGATGGCAACTTAAAATAATCCATTTAATTTACTGGGAACCAATCGTTATAATTATCGAAAAGTTAATTAAATGCCAATATGAACATAGTAGCCAAACTAAGATACAATTAAAATATAGAACTAATAGAGTAGCTTTTCATAAGTTGTGACATGTAATTCCTGTCCAGATAAATAGATCAATGGAAATAATATCTCTATATACGAAAATATAGGCTCTTCTTTTACTACCAGTCCCATAGAATAGGAATCATGGGTTTTGTGATATAATAGTACCACGTGGTAAATATTTTGTCTTACTGTTTTATTTGATAAACTAATTGACAAATTAGTGCCCACGGCATTTCATATAACATTTTGGTGTCTGGCCATGATGACATGTGCATGAAAGTTGTATCGTTAGTTATCATTATCTAATCAAAGCCTTCTCCCACTAAATGGGGTGACACTGAGAGAATTACGACTGCGAAAACTTTTTAAGAACTTGTAAAGAATTTTTTTCCAGAAGAGAAGGATGTGGTCACTGGAGCAAGAGTTTTATTTTCCCGACGTTTCGGATTCCATCGAGAATCCTTGATCATAGGTGGTGGTAGCATAATCATAGTCACGCGCATAATTGTTTTTCTGAAAACTTAGGTTATATTCACATACACCCGTTGTGTACTATTTAAAAATCAAAGCTTTGACAGCGGTATAATTTACCCGCAGTTATATTTGAATAGAGAGGGCTATATTCACTCAATGACATTTTTAACGCTTTATGCCAAGGTTAATGCCCTAAGTCAGCAAGTGTTACAGAACTTTCTTGTCACTTTTGACTTTGATTATTTTTAGCTATTAGCTGCTTAATAATTTATTTGAATATGCTGTCGGATTTACAGGACTTGCCTATAGTTACCGAAGAGGTGACTTTAACAGAGAATTTTGAAAATATGCGATCAGAAAATGCAGTCTTCTAATAACCTCTGTTTCACCCGTTTAGGTCGTTTGCCTACGAACGCAAGCACCTAATCTCCTTTGAAATGAAAGGCGTTACCTTCCTGTTATTCCGGGGCGCATAGAATTTGAAAGCTATAATTTTCATGTGTTATCAATGACATGAAGTACGGTGATATTTGAAGACATTATTTGTATGTTGTTCTATGTGCATTAATAAACACATATTATTATCGTATATTTTTTGTATTGCTAGAGTGTGTTAAATGAAACGCATCCGTTTGTTTTGAGAGATAGCACCTTACGTCTTGGTTCAGTTTTTTGTGTGTCCAATTTATGGGCAAAGCACTCTTTAGTTTACCATTCACATCAAAACTGGATGCGCTCTGTGACATTTGAGTAAGATCTTGAACAGCCATGACCAATAATTTTTCACTGTTCGGTCAATCGAATTATTAAAATCGGTCAAAACCCCCTACTAGTTAAAAGAATATATAGGTATTTTTCGGTTCTTTTCGAATTTACAGTAAGCGACATTTCAGATATCATATTGTTTTAGCCCGCGGCTATCGATGTGATTCAATACTTCTATGATAATTTCATTAGTGCAAATAATCTGCTCTTTGAGCTAAGCTAAAACGCGATGTGTTTAGATTTACCAAGTATAGTAAGTAATGAGTAATTAGCTCTCAAAGCATTTATGGGCTTTACTCAAGCAAAAAATTAATATAAAATTATATACACCTGCGACTCTTAGGCCTATTTATAAGGGTGGTTTGTTATTGATTTTGAATTAATGGGTAGACAACTGACGTTAATGAACCATGAAAACGTTCATCTTTATGCTCGTATTCATTCCCCTTCTGTTAGGTTGCAATTGTTTCTTTTAAATATGTATATTCCAGTTATATTTTATATTCCAAATGCCATTGTCCAGACATGAGGCAAAGTGAAGAAGGCTGAGGACGGTTCAATATATTATTCAGGTGGTATTGTGTAACTGACGCTTATGATGCTAGAAAAAGCTGAGCACGTTTGAGTTTATCTAACTGACAAACATGCACTTTTTGCGATGAATCGCAGAAAACGTTACGACAAAGAATTGTTTGATTTAAAAGGAACAGGTTCTTTATTTGGATAGTTCACGTCGTATACTTGCTTTTATTAAAAAAAACCTTCAGAAGAAAATGTAGTGTTTTTGGATAATTCAAAACTAGAGAGTAATACAAACGTGAGATTAATTCGACTAGTTGCTGGAGGACGCTACTCTGCCTCTAATTTAATTTCAGCGTTGTGGAGGCACTCGTACGAGAAACCTCCATCTTAAAACGAATGAATTAAAAGGAGCAGTAAACGCGATTTTTGGTGAAAGCTACCACGAACGTGTTTCTTATTTGTGACAAATCCTGCCCAGCACTGACATCTTAATCAATGAGTTTCTCAATTTATCTACATTCCTTCTTTATGATATGGGCAAAACGGCACCTACAACTGCCGTTCGCAGCAAATAGTTACTTCTATCTACGCTTTATTGCCTTTCATGCATAACGAAATACTAAATAAATAATAAAAGCAATCCATTAGTCTCAAAAACGCCTGCTTAACAGATTATACTAATGACTGTGCACAGAAGTTTATACTTAATTCAGCAAACTGTTAGCTCTAATTTTGACTGTATACTATCCGCTTTGCTGCTTCGCCGACTTGATCGATGATTGGACGTACTTGCATTTGAGGTTCTGATTAGAAATTACGTATGCACTTGTATCACGACTAATAGTTATTACTAATTTAAAAATACCGGACAGTTCCGCCTCCTATACTGTTATCAGTAAGGTTTAACATTGTGGGTATGAATTTTGTCACCAAATGTGACCATGAAATATTAAAAAATGTCATAATTCGTGCTCCATTTTTCGTTTACTTTTCGACCGCAGTGTTTGCGCATGTGAAACAGACGGCCACCGCAAAATAATGTTAGTCAAAGGAAACTATGACATGGTTTGGTGTGTAATAGGTTAAACGAAATTCAAGACTTCGTCGTATGATAGCGCCATGTTTTACGGATAATTTGCCATGTTATTTTTTTTTCTAGTTCAGCATGACTGCCAAGTGTAAGGCAATGGGGACATAAAACAACTTTGGTAGAAACTCACGTGAGCTAACACGCTTACACACCCAGGCCGCTGAAAGCACCCCCATATCACCTAAAAACATGACTCAAGTATATTGTTCTCCTTAGGTCATCATCAATCAAAGCACGAGGTCGGTGAAATCCAATTATCTCAATTAACGTACACCGCACTGCTGCTGCTGATTTTACCAGCAGGCGGTAATCGATATCACCGCCACAATCACAAACGCCTGCATGTGTGCATCGAAGTTGAATTTCCATGCTGCAATTCGGAATCGCCCTTTAAATACAACCCATTTTGAGGTAATTCAATAGAACTGGCATAGTGTAAGGAATATTTGGAAATTACTTGCATCACTGGCTTTCTGCAAACAAAATCCCGAGGTTTTCGGTGGTATTGTTATCCAAAAAAATGTATTGGAAGGCAAAACGAATGTGCATTCTCGCAGTTCAGTCATCCTTTATTACCAACAAAACGGTTTGACCGTGATAAATTCTATTTGGTGGATGGCCGAGACGTAATCAAGTAAGGATCTGGCACACACGAGCTATTTAGAAAGTAGTTGATGTAGTCAAAAACCGCCCACAATTAATTAGTTTATATCCATGTGGAAAGTAGTTTGAGCCGGACGCACGACGGATCCAATGATGTACACGAGGACGATTGGCGTTTAATAAATTCACGGCGCACGGTGGGCCTCATAGTTCAATGGTAGCGCGTTGGCGGCAAAAAATCCTTTCCTGCTGTGTTGGTTCGACTTCCATCGAGGCCTCGAGTCGTTTCAAAATTGGGTCAACTAAATTAAGCAAATCTGTCAAACCCCGCTAACAAATAAACTGAAAATACTTTGAGGATTCATTTCTCCGTGCGACAATAAATATGTGGGGTGGGGACGCTGTCGAAGCCACGGACTAGAGGGACATTCTGCGAGGATATTTGGAGGATATAAATTCCGTACATGTATCGCCAGATGCGATAATTTGTTTTTAAGGATAGTAGATTGGCGTGGTGTCTATCGCGCTCGCTCTTTCTTCCTGATCGGTCTTCCTAGTTGTTTTAGTATATATTGTGCGTGCTGTAGTTTACAAGACGAGAATGCGAAGTCCCGAGAGAACTAACGTACGTCATCGAGCGTGCCCACCTCCCTTGATCTGCTTCTTCAACCGTGACAATCGCGTTGAACTAACTGAAGTGGATTTCATCCATGGATAGTCTTG